CCAATTACCAGTATCTGAAATTGTATCGTATTAAACTAAATTTAGGTTTTTTCAAGAAAAATTACCGAGGAAGACTAAAATTATTTTCTTGTTCGAATGCAACATATCCAGTTCGATGTCTCTTCATTTATACAAACTGAAATTGTGGAAATGACAAGTAGGGTTATTCCTTACGTAATGTACTTACACTACTTTCATTACTTTCCTTTATCATTACCTCATTCCTTGCCTGTATCTTCTCGTACTCTCCCTTTTTAATCATATTCTCCCAACCAGCTTTTTATCTAAATGCTCTGTAAATATAGATACACGAAAAAGAATAAGGAATGTACAAACATTTTCTATGGTGTCTTCATTTTTAAATTTTTCTTTGCTTTCATATCCCCGTACATAATGTTCATATCTCGTATCCGTTTCAAACATTATCTCCTGATATCCAGCTAGCAAGCCTATGTCTGAATAGCGTTCTTTCGTCTCCGTCCCTTCATTCTTTCTCCCTTCCTCGTGCAGTAAAAGACGTAATAACAGTATAGTAAGAGTGTAAAGAAAAATGTGGGGAAAATATTCTTGAAATTGGTCAACAAGTATTTGCCAATTCGAGCATTCTAAATAAAATATTCAATAAGCTATTTTAAACCCGAGCTACTGTTGCTGTAAAATGTGCAGAAATAATTGATAACCATAAAAGGAACCTGCTAAGTTCTTTGAATAACAAGGCCACACGAGATTGTAACTGTATGATAAAGGAAACTTGCCCAACGAAACTGAAATACCTAGAGAATAATGTTGTTTACCAAGCGACAACTATGATAGATCGGTAAAATAAAAAGATTTTCATGGGAACAACTGAAATGAGCTGAAGCAGATTTAAAAACTAGGTTTTAAAAAATAAAATTAAAAATAAAATTGCTGCTCTGCTTAATGATATGTTGCATTCCCTTTCTCTACCCTGACCGCGGGATGGCTGCGAATGAAAGAAAATTTGACGTGGTCATTCATATGAATTTGATTTTGGTGGATAACTCTGCGCGACGAAGAGGCCCACACACTTGGCCAGAAGCAACTATCTCGAAGCTCAAAGGGGATTGAGACAAGCGTGATCTGGCAAACTTGGTTGCATCGGGCTGTCGTATATTTGGTATGTGAAATTACGCTTTGGAACGCCCTCTTCTGTTGAGATCATCTAGAACTTTGCCTATTCCGTTGGGGGTTTTTCGGGGACTGGTCGCGTTCATTTTGGTATCGCATCCTCGACCTTAGCGCCATATGTGGCCCTTAATTATTATGGGAAGATTAAAGAGGAATTTGGGGTATCCCCCAATATGAAAGCGAAATAACAACAAAGATTTTGCATTTAGATGCAGCACATTAGATCTATATAAAGGTAAAATTAGCCATATTAGAATTAAATAATGAATATAGGCTTGAATGAAAATCAGATCTATTACTAATTGTAATGACATAAATATTTACAGGATCATCTTCGAACGAATTGGGGCTTTTTCTTTAAAGCTTGTTCTATTTTCTTCGATTCGTGCTCCCCCCACTCATATCCTGTTTGTTTTGTCATGGATTTTTTCTTTGTTTATTTTATTTTTTCTGTATGGGTAATTCGTTTAAAGGTTAATTTGTTTTTTCCAGCTTTTCCCTGTGGTATAGCTATTTCGAGCAGAGTATTTTTCAGTTGTTCTGTGAACCGTCTAAGGATCGCTTCGGGCGTGAAACTATTGGTCGGAGTAAAGTGCTTGTGTCTCCTCTCAGTCTTGGATAGTATGCATGTATATATTCTTTCCACCTGGTTTCTTCTCGTTTATCTAGCTTCATTACCTTCAAATTTTGTTCTTTTACAGCCTCTTTAATAACCTTTCTCCTCCATAATTTTCACAGTTCTTTTCTACCTAATATACTTTCTTCCATTAATGTCTGTTTCCTGATCTAAAAAGCATATATATATATATATATATATATATATATATATATATATATATATATATATATAGTTTTTTCTCTATCAGAAAGTATATGTAAGTTTATTGATCAGAAAGCACACACACACACACACACATATATATATATATATACACACACATATACACACATACGTATATATATATATACACACACACACATATATACACACACACATATATATATATATATATATATATATACACACACATATACACACACACACACATATATATATATATACACACACACACACCTATATATATATTTATGAATTCAGCTTGAAAGTTCCTTAAGGCGCATTTGAACTCATAGATAATGTTCGTTCGTTGTAACTTTGATTTTGCTGGTGTGTTGTTATTTTTAATGATAAGATTACGTATTTTAATTTTTTTGTAATAGATAATTAATTTGATTTTCTTGTTCAGGCTAATGGTGTCGTGTACTTCTTTATAATATTTCTAAGTGAAGTTTCATCTTGTTTGTAGTTGACGTGCATTTGGTTTTTGTAGAAGATATTTATGCTATTTTTGACTGTGTTCATTATCTTTGTTATTTACTTTGGGGATAAATAGTCTAATTTGGTGGCCTATAAGATGGTTAGGGAAGCTATTGTTAACTAATGTCTGTTTTACGTTACTGAGTTCTTTAAGAAAGAGTAGTCAAGAGAATGGATTCTGGTGTGCTCTTTTTAGGAAGTTTTTTATCATTACTATTTTGTATCTGAGTGGTCATTCACTTTTAAAGTTAAGGTGGCAAGAGTTTCTGCTTGTTGTTTTTTATATAATGAGATGATAAAAGTATTGTTACTATATTCTACTAGAACATCTAAGAATGGTAATATATTTATTGTTTAAGTTCGTGGGTAAAGTTAAGGACTGTTTTTTTTATTTTTTGTTTTTTGTTTTCAAATGTAGTCATGAATGGGACTTTTGTTGTGCATGCGTGTAGTAATTTTTTTTTGTATAAATAGTTTGATGGATGGCGGAGGAATAGAATTATTAGTATACACAGATTTGCGGATAATGTCAATGGTTTGATCGACGGAGACGTTTTTAAATAAATTTTTGACGTCAAGTGACGTTATGATACCATGGTTTGGTTTAATAGTTTTTAAAATTCAGAGGAATTCGTAGGTGAATGTGATGCTGTAATTGTCATCTCGTCTGATAAACATGTCAGGGTTGTTTTTAGTTTTGTTGTTAAGATACTATTGTAGTTGTTGTCAGGAGCGCATTTTTGCAAAGTTTCTAACTTTCTGTCCTGGAGTAACAAGGTACCTCACGCATTTCACGGACGATTTCATTTTCAAGTCCTTTTTCACTGCTCTTTGGACTGTCATAGCTGAAACTCCTCTCTCACGTGCCAAACGTCTTATGAACCGAGTTGGATCTTTTCTAATTGATATCTATAGCTCTAAGTTGAAATGATGATTTCTCTTGCTGTTGTGACCTCTTGATCCAGTCTTCCTCTCTACTGTTCCCTCTTTTTTAAAAATATTCACCGTTCTCTTTGTGGTTCTTGAATGAAGTTTGAAGATGGAAGCCAGAGTATGAATATTGGTGCCATTACCGAAGGCCTGAATGATCATTTTCCTCTCACCATTGATCATTTCGGAAGACAGTAGCATTGAAACAAAACGATTTTAACCTGTTCCCTTTCTAGCTGAATAACTCAAAGGGTTTTTTCAGTGATTCTTACGACAAATGGTACAAGACGTCTTATTTTATGGCTATACGTCTTATCTGTATACCTGGAAAAAAACTCAGTTTAGTGTTTATATATATATATATATATATATATATATATATATATATATATATATATATATATATATATATAAAAAAAAGAAAAGAACAGTAAGATATATAATCCGGTCTTCTTATAGTTATTTTTATTTTAATTTTTTTTTATTTTTACAAAATAGTGCTCAATGTAAATTTACGGAGCATTAATATTATAAATCAACTGATTTAAAATATGTTTTTTTTCGCTACACAGTTCTAACCATGTTTCAAAAATGGAAGTTAAAACCTTCGAATTTAATTTTGTAATTAAATTAAAGACATTAGTTCCATTTCATCCTCAAACGAATATATGTATGTATGTAATTATGTATATATATATGTATATTATTTTCATATAGCAGAATAATACTCCATTTACTTTGTATCGTAAATATTTACATTGTATGACACAAGGTTCTATGTATGAGAATGCTAACGAAGTGAAAGAGAACTAGCTCAAGCCAAATTTGAACTTCACAAGCCGATTCAATTTCCTGTACGTATATCCGTTTGATCAAATCCGCATTTCCTTCAAATAAGTAGCATTCAAAAACTGATATTAAGTTTCTGGTGAGTAGCAGCGTACATAAACGCGATTTCAAAGCACGTTTTTAGCTCCGAATAATAAATTAGTAAATCCAGAGGGGCGCAAGAAGAAGTTTAGTTAAACTCAAGTAGAATCGAGGTTACTTGGTTCCAACTGTTTTCTTGCACCTTCCCGCTTTCGGAAAACCAGAATCTAATTAAGTGCGGGCTTTCTTGTGCAATGAAACATCCGCTAACCACGTGATTGCGTCGAGCCTAAGAGAGATAAGAACGGGTTAATATACTGGAAATAGGCGAGTGACATCCAGACGTGTGTCAGCTCCTCGTGGACTGTGGGCAAGATGGGACACCACGATGATTTCCTCGTCGTTGATTGGTCGTTTTCCGAAAACGGACGCCCGTAATCTCGCATTGCCATCAGTTCATCTGACGCCTTCTTGGAATCATTAGCGCAAAGACACACGAAAACGTCTGTATATTCACCAGTCCATTGAGTATTTGTGCGTATATTCGCATACTTGTGTGCTTGAAACGTAAGCATGCGTGTAGAGCAGGTGCTTATAGCGTGAAAACAGGCCCTTTTCGGATGTAGACTTGTAAACTAGATCTTGTTGTGTGAAATGTTTGATATCGGAAAAGAGGAAACCGTCGCTACGTTTCGGTGTAAGGCGCTTTAAGCCCCTTTCAACTAATCAAGTT